ATCAGCCAGAAGCCGGCCCATGCTGCCCAACCAGAGCTCTGCCCTTGTCTCCTGTGGCCTCAGTCCAGGGTCCCAACCCTTCTCTTTGCCTCTCCAATTGTCACGATGAAGCTGTGCTTTAAGGAGGGGAGGAAATTTTGCAGCAGGTCTGAGAAGGCCAGACAAGGCCCTGGACCCAGTGCATTGGCAGATATTGTTGGTGGGCATTGTGGAAGGCTGTGGGGGTCAGGCCAAGAGCCTGGCATATAGGTCACGGGTGGCAAATATCCACCTCCCGTGAGCCAGTCCTGTTGGCTCCAGAACTGAAATATCTCTGCAGCCCACCCAGGTCTGACATCACATGCTGTGGGAAGTAAAAGTTCCTTTTTAAAGTTTCCTTTCTTGTTAAAGAATAAGCGTGCTAATAACTCTTTGTTAAGCCCTATTCTATGTAGCTGTTAGTTATGCTGTGCTTACAGGCATGTAGTACATTCTATGCCCTTGTACTTTAACCAAAATATCTGTGCTGGATGTGCTCACAGACACGTCCCAGCTTTTCATTGCTTTTACTTGTTTAGAAAAGTTTTAAGTTATTAGCCAATCGGGTTTTAGTTTAGATTGAGAGGTCTGGCTCCAGCCAATGGAGATCAGACACAGCAGTAAGGACAACCCCAAATGCGCAAGGGATATATATGTCTGTTTTCCTTTGTTTATTGTACTCTTGTGGCAAGATGGCTAGTGGCAGTACCTTTCCTACAGGAAGTAAAAATTGCTGAAAGATCCTTTGTCTCAGTGCTGATTTTTCTTTGCGGCACCAAGCATCTGTTTCCAACACATCCCCCTTGTCTCAGCCTCCATATCATTTGTCTGTGCCTCAGCAGCCCGAGTGCCCTTTAAACAGCAGAATGAGAGTCACAGAGCCTCTGCAGTGCTTCCTGTGTGCCAGGCAGGGACCCATTTCACTCTCGCCACCACCTCTGGGGTACAGCTGTTATCATCTGCATTTTAGTGACATGGAAATCTGAGTCACACCTTACTAATGTCTTCCCAGCATGCTCAGGGAAGGACTTGAACTCTGTCCAGGGCCAGCTTCACTGGCACATGACCTGCGCTGTCCTGCAGGGCCTGCATTCAAAGGGGCTAGCTCTTGGTTTAATGATCTGCTGTCACTGTCATGCAAGTCTTAATAATTTTGAACAAGGAGCTTCGCGGTTTCATTTTGCGCTGGGCTGCAAATGCATAGCTGGTCTTGACTCTGTGCTTGGTGTAGGACCCCATGTGGTGTGGCAGTTTGCCCTCCCCACTGCCTGCCCATGACAGGTGATATTTGATAGCTGTGTATCACAGTGCTCTGTAGACTTTTCTTTTCCAGCACGTACCACAAGCCATCATTATTTTATGTATTCATTTCCATAGTGGTCTCCCTGACCAGACAGTTCTGTGATGGCCGGGACTCCCTCTGTTCCTCCTGCAGGCCTGGTATATTAATTTTTTGTGGGCAATTAAAGGGCAGCTGGGCTTCCAAGGCACAGAAAAATGACATGGAGGCTGGGACAATGGGGCTTATGTTGTTGGAGATGGGTGGGCTGCAGAGATACTTCAGTTCTGGAGCCACAGGACTGGTTCATGGGAGGTGGAGATTTGCCATCCTTGGCCTATATGCCAGACAAGGTCCAGCATCATCAGAGGAGCTCCACATGCCTTCAGGAAGGAGCATTCTCTGAGGACTCTGCCTCCTGTGTGTCCTGAGCAGTCAGTCACCCTCCAGCCTGCCACACTGAGCCAGGGCTGTGCTGTTTCCTTGACAGTGGGCTGTGCCATCTCCTGCTTAGTGGGCAGTGGGCTCAGAATGAAAAGCCCTGGGTGCAGCAAACACCAAGCTCAGCTCAGGGAGGAGAGTGCCCTGCTGTCGCTCCTGCTGATGAGACCTTTGTGCAGCCCACAGCCAGATGGGCTGATTGCAGTGACACTGTATGGCTCTGTGAGCATCAGGACCCTCAACAGTGTTTCCATGGCAGAGAGGCCGGTTGCTGGGGGCCGCCCTGAGCTCCAAGGTTGACTTGGCCCAGAACTTTGGACACCCTCCCCTCCTGCACTCCATTCATCTCTACACTCCCTGCGGCCTGGCCTGGCATCGGCCCATGGAGACTTATTCATCCTGGAATTGGATCGAGCTTGGACTTTGGGCACAGGGTAGGACACACGAAGGTGGAAGCCAAGGTCCTGACCCAGAGGAGCTGACAATTGACACACAGCACAGGGCACCCTTTCCCCCTCTGGCAGCCCAAAGAGTAGGCAGACCTGCAGCTGCCCCATCCTGCCTGTGAGCCTGGTGGGCCACCCCCGTGGGTGTGTTCCATTTGCTTTCTCTTCAGCTTTTTTCTGGTGTCCTTCCTGGCTAATTGCTGATATTTTTCTTGCCTTTCTTAAAAATATTGCACTGTTTCTTCTGAAAAGCAGTCATTGAAATAGAAACATGTGCTTATCTAGAAGAGTCTAAAGAAGAGAATAGGTATCACCTGTAACTGCATCTTCCTTCTAGATGCAAGACCGGGGGCGGGGGGTCCTGTCCATATCCTGGAGGCGTGGCTGCCTCATCCTTTCCACCATATGCCCAGGGTACAGGGCTGGCACCTTGCAGGTGCTCAACACATACTCATGACTGAGTGAAAAGAATGAGCAAATATATGTGTGTGTATATATTATATATATAGCAGAAAATTAAGACTGTAAATTGTATTTGTTATTTATTTTGAGACAGAGTCTCCCAGGCTGGGGTGCAATGGCGCGATCTTGCCTCAACTCAGCTAAATTTTTCTGTGTTTTTAGTAGATAGGGGTTTTCACTGTGTTGGCCAGGCCGGTCTCAAACTCCTGACCTCATGTGATCTTCCCACCTCTGCCTCCCAAAGTGCTGGTATTATAGGTATGAACCACCACACCCAGCCTGATTTTTATTTTGCCTTTTTTACTCTTTGTGGCACTGACCTTTTGCTATGTGGAGTCTGCTGTCGGGGCTTAGACTTCGTTTACTTAATCTATCCCTTCTGCTGAGCATTGTGTTATTGGGATGAACATCCAAGTGTTTTTATCAGAGACTGTATCTCTGGTATTTCCTTAAGGCACATTCCTAGAAATGGCCACAGAAAGGAATAAAAAGGAGTAAGCTTCCTTTTTGGGGTGTTGTATTTTGTGTGTCTTCCTGCTGATCAGGGTATGGGGAGGTGTACTTCAGACTGGAAGGCTGATTTCTGAGAACTGCTATGGTTATAAAAGCGGCAGTGAGGAATGAATTATGTATCAAGCTCTAAGTCAGATCAAGGCAAATGGAGTTCATACTTATCTGAAGACAGAATGTACCTTTCTGGAATCGATCCGGGGGGATGTTGATGAGCCCGGAATAATCCTTCATGGAGTGTTGAGAAACACCACTCTCTCCTGTTCAGAAGGAAGGCAGCTGGCCTCCATCACTGTCTCCCAGATTTTATAGTTTGGAAGGATGTCCCAGGGCCCCAGGGCTAGCAGGGCATGCCTGACTTCAGTTCATGGCCACTGAGCATCTGCACCTCGCCGACGCACTGGCATTGTGGAGACCCCACCCAGACCGTTCCTGGGCACCCCTGTACTTCCTGCACCTCCCACCCACAGGCTGAGGTCACATGGACTCCAGGTGGCCGAGTCCAGTGGCCAGCTTCAGGTCCTCACTTTGACCTCTTCGGGGCTGCCCGCTATCGGAGTCTTCCTTCTAGACGCGTGATCTTCTGCAGCCTCTCTGGTGCTTTCCCTCCTTAAGTCTTGTTCATGTCCTTCCTTGCCAATTTTGTCCCTTCTGCCCAACCTCCCAAGTTAGCACTCCTCAACACTGGAGTGTTCCCTCCTCGCCCTGCATTCGTTCCCTAGGTGATCTAATCCCAGCGCCACCACTCATGGGCCGTTTGGACTTAGGTAGCTTACCTCACCTCTCTGTGCTTTATTTTCTCATCTCTAAAATGGGCTTAGTAAAATACTCTCTCACCGGGTGTTCCAAGGACGATGGGATGGGATTCCCTGCTCCTGCCACAGGCCCTGGCACATGATGGGCACCTCATGAATCTCCTGCTGTCACTGACTCACTCATTCATTCAGTGACTCACTTGGCGGATCCGGATGGAAAGCATCTTATGTGCTGCCCTCTCTTCTAGGCATGGAGGATACAGTGGGGGCAGAGCAGACCCGGGCCTTGCTTACTGGGAACCCATCCTCATGGAGGGGACATAGATGAGAACTAAGTAAATTACAGTTTGTGAGATGGAAAATGATCAGGAGACGTGTGACAGGAAGGGAGAACAGAGGCGGCTTTGGGCAGTGGGCTTTAAGCTCAGTCCTGGCTCACCCGCTTCCAGCTGTGGACCTTGATCAGGTTCATACTGTTTCCTCTCTCAGTAGCTGAGTGACATCACTGGCAGTCAACCTCTTTGTGTCTCAGTTTCCTCATCTGTAACACTGAGTGACATCATCTACCTAGTAGGGAAGGGAACCACTAACCTCTGAAATCGAAAAGCCCATTTCTCAAAGTGTGGTCCTCAGACCCTGCTCCAGAATTGCTGGGACTGTGGATGGAAATGCAGATTTCCTGGCCCACCACATTTCTCATGTTGAGCTCTGGGTGAGGGTCAGAGCCCTGCTTTTTGGAAGAAGCACCTTGGGCAACTCAGGCTCATTGATATTGGCAGAATGTGGTCTGCAGCCTGCTGAGATGGGCTGGTCTCATCTTGATGGGGGCAGGATGGATTGAAACTACTCAAGGTGTGGTCACCTGGGAGCCTCACCTGGGAGCTTGTTAGAAAGGCAAAGCAGATTCTCTAGGGGTGGGCCTAGGACTCCTCGCCTTAAGAACCTCCAAGAGATTCTGCTGCAGCCCCCATCCGGGAGGCTCTAGGTCAGTCCTGGGAGTGGCAGGTGTCTGACCCGCAGTGCCCTAGGCAGGGACACCAGCTCCACACCCTTCTCTCTCTGCTAACTCAGTTTCCCTCCCTCCCTCAGGATCCCAAGTGATGGTGGTTTCCTTGGAGGGCGAGCTGAGCCCTGCGCGACTGGTTAGCACGGTGGAGCTAGTAGCCGTGCCTGCTGGCTGGTGTGCATGAACGGGTGTGAACCGCAGGATCTCACCACCTTGACCCAAGAGGAAGCATGTCGAAGAAAGGCCGGAGCAAGGGCGAGAAGCCCGAGATGGAGACGGACCCGGTGCAGATGGCCAACGAGGAGCTGCGGGCCAAGTTGACCAGCATTCAGATCGAGTTCCAGCAGGAAAGGAGCAAGGTGGGGGCTGGTGCCAGCTCAGCAGCAGCTGAGTACTGTTGTCCCTGGGGCCTGTGTGGAGAGCCTGTTCCAGTGCCGAGGGTGGGCACTTCACCTCACTGGCCTGCGGCCTGTCCCTTTGCAGTACAGACACTGCTGAGCAGGAGTCCTGACCCCACCAGTACTTGCTGTGACCTTGGACAAGCCGCTGAACACCCCATGCTTTGATTTCTGTTACCTGCAAGATGGGGGATGTTAAAAGAAAAATGTTTGACAAATTCAGTTTAGCAGAGTTTGAGTAAAGAACGATTGGAGGATGGGGCAGTCCCCAGAACATAACAGGTTCAGAGGAACCTGCATGTGGTCATATGGCAGTCATTATGGGGACAGAAAACAGAAGAGGTGCTGAGGCCACTCGATTGGTTACAGCTTGACCCTCGATACACGGGTCACCTGTGGTTTACTGATGCTCAGCTGCTGTGATTGGCTGAGCCTCGGCTGTTTGTTTAAAAATACTCCTAAGTCAGGCTTTCAGTTAGTTTGCCTGCTAAGTTAGGTTGCAGTTCATTATATGGGAACTCATGCATGAAGGCATCCTCAGGTTACGTCTAGTTTAATTCAGCAGGGTCATGACAGTACCAGCTTTTCCTAAATTCCACAAGGAAGGAGGGCACAGCGAGGCATGTCTGACTTCCCCCCTTCCCATCATGGCCTGAACTAGTTTTTCAGGTTAGCTTTGGAATGCTCTTGGCCAAAGGGAGGGATCTGTCCGTTCAGATGGTCAGGAGGCTTCGAATTTTATTTTTGATCTATGCTGCCTTGTGGTCTTGTAAGCCTTGTACGTGCTTTTTCAGACACGATGGGGCTGTGGTCTGGACTCAGGACTCTACTAGGTAAAAAGCTCGGAGCAGAGCTGGCCCTGCACATGAGCTACTTTCCTCTCTCCTAGGGCAGATTTGAGCTGGTCAGGAGCTGGTCAGGACAGTGCCTGTTTGGATGCTGGGAGTCTAATTAAAGCACAGGCTGTCACAGAGGGGAGGGGCACAGGCTTTCTAGGCAGACCTGGCTTCAAGCCTCAGCTTGTCCCTTAACTGGTCTCATGATCTTGGCCAGGTGATTAAAAGTCTCAGAAACCTCTGTCTTCTCATCTGACACCAGCTATTATGGTGTAATAATGGCTGCCTGGTTTAAGATGGTCATGAGGATCTGGTTAATGGATACAATAAAAAGCCCAGTCAACATCTGGTGCCCAGGCTCAGCTGCAGTCCTGTTTGGTGGCCTGGTTCTGACTTGGGTGGGCTTGAGGGCAGAACAAACCCAGGGCTCTGTGATTCCAGAGAGGAGCCACCAGCCAGGCTGTGGACAGAAAGGGGATGGAGACGCAGGCTTGCTCCTGGATGGCTTGAGCAGTTGGGGGTCTACCTGAAGCCCTGAAGGTGCCCTCCAGCTCCTGCTGTAGCACCTGGAGCGATGGGTGGAGGCTGCTTGGGGGATTGCAGCAGGCGTCTCTGTCTTGTTGAGCTGGGACTCAGGCCTTCAATGGGGTGATGGGCCAGATCCAGCTCCCAGGTGGGGATGAGGCTGGGGCCTGGGCTCTGGCTCCAACCTCAGCTCAGGATGGCCACACAGAGCAGAGGCTGAGTTCTGGACCGGGAGCCTCGGCTTCTGGAACTTGATGATAGATGCACCTGTCTCCATCCCTAGGTGTTCAAGATTCCAGGTTGAGTGCATCCAGCCTGTTTTAGCCATGGAGTGCATCCAACCTGTTCACCCTTTAGCTAGGTCGAGAGGCCAGGTCACCTCCAGGGCTGGGGCTGAATGGCTGGGGCTGCAGGGGCTGGGAGCCTGTATCTGGAGGTAGCAACAGCATCTGTGGTAACAGGGAAAGCTGCTCACTCACACCACACTGCCTGGGCTCCATCCTGTCTCCACCACCAACCCTGCCTGGAGGTCTTATAAGCTGTGTAACCCCCTGTCTCAGTTTTCCCATCTGTAGATGGGACCTCTAATGTGTCTGCCTCCTGATTTGTTTGAGGAATGAATGAGACAGTCACACACAGGACCCGAGGCTGCCTGTTATACTCTCACATGACCATTAGGGTGACATTTACATGACTACTGTGCAGATAGCACTAGGTGCTTTAGAGGGTGTCATGACCCTGGCAGTGACCTGAGAGGTTAGATGTGCCTTCCCCCATGTTACAGATGAACAAGCTAAGGTTTGGAGAGAGCAGGGACTTGCCCAGGTATGTTAGCTTGCCAGGGCTGCCATAACCAATTCCCACAGATGGAGCGGCTTAAACAACAGACGTTTGCTGTCTCACAGTCCTGGAGGCTAGCAGCCACAGATCCAGGTGTTAGGATTGGCTCCTTCTGAAGCCTCTCTCTTTGGCTTGGAGACGGCTGCCTCCTCCCTGCGTCTTTGCAGGGCTTTCTCCTCTGTGTGTATCCATGTCTGTATTGCTTCTTCTACTAAAGATTGCCTAATCCAGGCAAATTGGATTAGGGCCCACCCTAATGACCTTATTAGGATCTGTCTCCAAACACAACTAATCTTGAGGTCCTGGGGGTTAGCACTTCAACATATAAATTTCAGGGGGACACAGTTTAGCCACACACACGAGACCAGCACATTAGGTGGTAGTGATGGGTTGAAAGCCAGGCCCACGGAGACCCCAGGCTGGGCCTCCCCATTACCAGGCTGCCTCCATGCCTCTGGGACATGTGGCAATTTCGACTTGGATGTACCCTGGCTACTTATTTTCTCAATCCAGCCATCCCGGTGGCTCCTTCAGGTTGGCTTTACCCATCTGGCTGGGGGGAGAATTTCAATTCTCTGAGAATTCAGGAATGTGCTTATTGACTGATACAAAAAGCATACATGCAAACTTTGCAGTGTTACTGCAAAGCATTGACGTGTTACCTTGATATGATCTCATAATTGCCATCAATGTCCCATTTAAAGTGCTGGCATTTTAGCAAAGCATCCCTGTTGAACCCTGTAGGATGAGGGAGGGTGGTAAATGTGTCTGTTTATTCATCAGTGAGCCCCCTGCACACGTGCTCTGTGCCTGGGATGAGTGAGAAGTGTTTAGAAGTAATTCAGAAACAGCCCCTGCCTTCAAGCCAGATGGGTACAGAGGCTCACAGGAAACCAGCAATATAGCAGCCCTGGGCACATTGCATTAGAAAATGGTGCATGGGGAAGCAGAACCCAAGGCTTTACAGAGGCAGTTTTGTGTTTTTTTTTTTTTTTTCTTGGAGCATTTCCTTACTTTCTGGCATTATAAGATGCCCCAGGCTCATCTGTATAGTACATACCGCAGCCCTAGACCCAGCAATTTCTCTAAGGAGTCCTGGTTCCTTTTATTGGAGAATGGCGTTAGAAACCAAGATCTGAGCACCAGGCGTGCTCATTGCTGCTGGGGTGTCATTGCTTCTAGGCCCTCTCAGCAGCCAGAACAAGGAAATATATGTGTATACCGACCTGCATATGTACACATACCTGTGACATCTATATCCATACAAAGTTAAACATGAGTTCTTACAGATGTCCCTGATACTAAGCCACTGCCACATTGATCACTTTGGCCTCCTCATGCTTGTCTGCAAGCTGTCACTCCAGGTTGGAAACCTGGCTTCCCATCTGCCACCCACTTTGTTCAACACTATATATGTATGATGGTTTCAGAGTAGTTAACGTGTACCCATGTGGTTAGAGGGCTTTGAGCATGGAGGGTGTGGTGGGGAGGGTTACTGCAGGTGGCTTAGGCAAGGACAAAGTGGGGAAGTGGCCAGGCCTGGACATGGAGACCCAGCCATGCCAGATTGAATGAGGATGGGGATAGAAAGAGACGAGTCTGACTCACTCTCTGAGTGGGAGTGGAAAGTGAGGGTGGTGCTGGTGGTTCAGATAAATTCATGCCAGCCACTCTGCCCCTAGGGCATGCTCCCTCTCTCAGCCTTTGTGCTGTGGCTGTATGTAGAGTCCACGTGCTGAGGAGCAGTTGGCTTGGGTGCCTCTCACTTGGGGAATAGCTTGGAGGCACCTGGGGGTAAAGTGCTTGGGGCTTTTTTTGGCCTGCTCAGCTGGATGGAGTGGTTGAGGGGAGTGCTCCATGCACATCAGGGCCACCCCAGCCTCACTCTGCTCCCTCTGTCACATAGGTCATGTCACTGGGCTTGGCCCTCAGCAGCTTTGGGCAGAGCTGGTGGGATCAGGCAGGGCCGTGTCCCCAGGCCCCTGCCTCTCTGTCACCATGCCGGCCCTACACACTTGCATCACCAGCCTCAGCAGCACCTCTGCCCCTCCCAGGAAGCATCCTGTAGACCCCCTGGGCTGCCCTGCATAGGCCTCTGCCCAGCCTTCCATGTTCTTCACTCCCTTTCCGCCTGTGACTGTCTCTCGAGGGCTGCCCACACCCGACGTGCAAAGTCAGAACCACAATAACAGACTTCCATTCATCCACGCACAGTCGCCTCATCTTCCTCCTCCCAACGGGCCTTTGAGGGGCCACTATTGACATCCCTGTTTCCTACTAGAGGAAACTGGAGCTCGGGAAGATTGTGTAACCAGGGTTCTTCAAAGAAATAGAACCAATAGGTTGACACACACAGATACACACACACACACACACACTCACAGTGTGAGAGGTTGTTAGTTTTAAGGAATTGGCTTATGCAGTTGTGGGGCTGGCAAATCAGAAATGTGTAGGGCAGGCCAACAGGCTGGAGATTCGGGCAAGGGCTGATCTTGCAGCCTCGAGTCTCGGAGCAGTCTGGGGGCAGAGTTCCTTCTCCCTCAGGGGACCTCAGTCTTTCTCTTAGAGCCTTCAGCTGATTGGATGACGCCCACCTACATTGTAGAAGGCACTGGGCTTCACCCTGAGCCACTGACGTGAATATTCGTCTTTTCTAAAATATACCTTCACGGCCACACCTGGACTGGTGTTTGACTGAACGACTGGGCACTGTGCCCAGCCAAGTTGACCCACAACATCAGCCACCACAGAGGTAGAGATATTTGCCCCAGGAAACACAGCTCGTCAAAGCAGATCAGGATCTCACTGGCTCTGACCCTGCTGACCCCAGAAGGCTGTTGGCATTGACCAGGGACTTAAGACAGTGTTGCCTCGCAGGAGGCGGAACAGTCAGAACCATTTTGTCTATAACTGGGACAATTCTGTTAAATGCTTAACGTTAAATGCTTGCTGCTACTAAATCCACCAGGAAAAGATGCTGATTGCTGCCACCAGGGTAAGGTGGGCAGAGAGTGGACTGGTCGCCTGGATTCCTTCCCATGACTGTGTCTGGTGAAAGGAGATGTTGGTCTTGTGTGTTTGCCTGAGTTGGTTTTCTTTGCTTCTCTCCCTGTTGCTGTAAGGATTTACTGATACTCAGGGGTCATTGGAAAACTTCTCACCTAACGTTCATGTTAACATGTTACTATGCTAGCTACAGAGTGGTCTGGGGGAACACGTTGCCATTTTCCCTGGAAGCAGCTTGTCCATCAGAGGCAATTCATTTCAGGTCTTCAGAGAAGACAGAATTCAGGAAACAGCAGCTTGTCAAGCATTCCTGTGGAATGTGTTGAGTGATATTTGAAACAAAAAGGTTAAAGAAAGCGTTTTGAAGTGTTTTAAGAACACACTCCCTTGGGACATTTTATAAGTAACGTTTTGAATTGCTGAAAAAATGGTTAGGCTCAAGGCGGGGTGGGTTGCCTGCCAGTAGCAGGACCCTCATCCCTCATCCCAGGCAGGGACCCAGACCATCTCTGAGCCTTGGTTGCCTCATGATAAAACAGAAGTGGGGGTGAGGGGGGAGAGAGAGAGAGAGCGCTACCTCCTTCCCAAGACTGTGAAAGGTTAATGTGGCAATGTGGGTGATGCATTGGTGTCCCCAGCCCATCTCAGGACCCTGCTCAACAAGAATGGTGCCCCCACCCACTGCCCCCCCCCCCAAGACTTAGAAGCCTGGTCTGTCTTGTCCAACTCCAGAGTCCATGCATGGGGCCCTGGATATGCATTTCTGGTTTAAAATCTTTTGGGTCTTGGTGATGGTTTCTACAGGGTGCGTTCTGTGATTTAGCAATTGTCCTTCTTTATATATCTGCGACCTGGAACAGATGTCAAAGGCTTGAATGCCTTCCAACATCTTCAGAGGGTTTCCACCCCCCAGGGAAAACCTCAGGAAACTAGCAGGAGAGATTCTAGGTGGCGCTGGCAGGACGGTCAGGCCTGCAGGGCATTGTGGAAGAGGGAATCCTTGGGAACGTGGGCCCAGGTGGGTCTCTGGGGCACGGGGAGGCTATGGCCAGCTCTCCCAGGTGTGACCCTGACCCTGATCCTGACTGGCTCTCTCGCCGCTCTGGCTGCAGGTGGGCAAACTGCGCGAGCGGCTGCAGGAGGCGAAGCTGGAGCGCGAGCAGGAGCAGCGGCGGCACACGGCCTACATTTCCGAGCTCAAGGCCAAGCTGCACGAGGAGAAGACCAAGGAGCTGCAGGCGCTGCGCGAGGGGCTCATCAGGCAGCACGAGCAGGAGGCGGCGCGCACGGCCAAGATCAAGGAGGGTGAGCTGCAGCGGCTGCAGGCCACGCTGAATGTGCTGCGCGACGGCGCGGCCGACAAGGTCAAGACCGCGCTGCTGACCGAGGCGCGCGAGGAGGCGCGCAGGGCCTTCGATGGAGAGCGCCTGCGGCTGCAGCAGGAGATCCTGGAGCTCAAGGCCGCGCGCAAGCAGGCGGAGGAGGCGCTCAGCAACTGCATGCAGGCCGACAAGACCAAGGCAGCCGACCTGCGCGCCGCCTACCAGGCGCACCAAGACGAGGTGCACCGCATCAAGCGCGAGTGCGAGCGCGACATCCGAAGGCTGGTACGTGCCGCCCCCTCCCCAGCCAGTGCGCGAGCTCGCAGCCTTCCCTCCCTGCACGCGAAGGGGAAATGCGCAACTCCGAGGACCTGCTCGGCCCCAGGCATTGTTCAAACCACTGTGCCCCCAGCTACGTCCCTGCAGTCTTGGGTGTGATAAGGAGGCTTTGGGGCTGCAGGGAAACAGCTCAAAGAACAGTTTCCCCATTTGTCAAAGGAGCTTAGTGGAGACTAGCCAGGGTTGTTGCGAATGCATCGTTATCGCAAATCTAAGTGCCGGGCATTTATTGATTCATTTACTTCATCAGCCAGGAGCAGATTTCCACCTTCCAGGTAAGAGGCCGGCCAATTGGCTGCAACAACAAGGGAAAAACATAAATTGCAAATAGTCCTGTTTGGAAAGGTACTGGAGATCTGCGGAGTGTGGAAGAGCTAAAATTCCAAAGGGAAGGGGAAAGAGCCCTGCCTAGGTGGCCTGAGTTGCCACCTACTTTCTTCTCTGGGGGCATCTGTGGATTCTGGGTGTGGGCTGAAGATTGGATGTCCTAGGAGAGATGAGTAGGACTTTTTGCCATCTCAGGGTGGGCATTAAACAATGGAAACCAGAGGAGCCCTGCCTAGGCCAGCTTGCTGCACAGGAAACCTGCCTGAGTTCTGGAGTGATGGGGGAGGCCGGTGAGCCCAGCTGGAATGGCAGAGTGACAGCTCCCACGCCCTCACTGGACGTAGGAGACAAAGGGAGGGGGCCAGCCAGGAACACATGAGGAGTCTGCCCCTCAGGGCATTTGTCACACTTTGAAGCTGTGTGGGGCAGGTGGCTAAGAAGTAAAGTAAGCTGAGATTTTCAGACTGGATCAAACAATAACAGTGATATTTACAAGAGAGACATCTTAATTATGAGGACATGGTGACATTGAGCATAAGAGGATGGGGAGAGATACATTGTACAAACACTTCCCCAAGGCGCAGTTGGTCTGGCTGTGTTAATGGCTCTAAGGCAAGAAGTGATACTAAAGACACAAAGGGACAGTACTTAATAATAAAGGGTCAATTCGGTGGGAATGCATTCAATAAACAAAACCTCCAAATGTATAAAAGAAAAAACTATCAAAACTAAAAGAAGTAGACAAATCCACAGTCATAGTTGGGGACAAACACACTTCTGTCAGCAAGCAGTAGAACACAGACAAAAAAATGAATAAAGATATGCAAGATTTCACCAACACAATTAACCAACGTGAACTTACCTGACAGAACACTCAATTCCACAACTGTAGAATACTGTGGACATGACGTACTTCTGTCAAAATAGACGACATTTCAAACTTTGTGGGTTGTAATTAGTCCTTAGAGCAAAACATGTTTTAGACAAAAAGAAGAAATGCTGAAAATGAAGCATCCAAGCTTCCATCTCAAAAAAGAAAACAGCAAATTAAACTCCAGAGAGTAGAAGGAAGGAAATTTTAAAGAGCAAGAAACACTGAAATAAAATCAATAAAGAAAATCAACAAATTCAAGAGTTAATTAAAATTTATGAATTGGCAAACATTTAGCAATATTGATAAAGCAAAACAGAGACAGTAAGTTACCAATATCAAAAATGTAAAGGGGGAAATACCACAGCTCCTACAGACAATAAGACCACTGGAAACAGCATATGCCCATAAACTTGAAACCTCGATAAAATGAACACATTCCCTGAATAAGCACAATGTACCAAAACTGACACTGCAGCAAATAGAAAATCTCAGTAGTCCTATAGCTTTTTCTATGAAGAAAGGCCCAGACCTAGATGGCTTCACAAGTAAATTCTTTTAAGTATTTGAGGAAGAAATAAAACTAATTCTAGCCAAACTCTTTCAGAAAATAGAGAAATAGAAACATATTTTGACTAACTCATGAAGCCAGTGTAACTCTGATTTCAAAACCAGTAACATTACAAGATAAGGAAACTTTTGGATTACCTGTTATGAACATAGATACAAGAATACGAGCAAGATATTAACATATCAAATCCAGAAATATATAGAAAGACTAATAAGTCATAACCCAGCTGTGTTTATTCTGAGAATACAAAGATTGGCTTAATATTCTAAAATCGGTGAATATAATTCAACATAATAATAGGATAAAAGAGAAAAAACCCATATGGTCATCTTAATAGATGCAGAAAAATCTGTTGATAAAATTCACCTTCATAATATAAACTCTCAGAAAACCAGGAATAGAATGGAATTTCTCTAATATGATAAATGGTTCTATCAAAAATCTATTACAAGCAATATACATAATGATAAAATATTGACCATTTCCCACCCAAGTTCAAGGTCAAAGAAAATGTTCACTATTACCACTTCTATTCAACATAGCACTGGCCAGGATGTCAAATACAAAAGGCAATAAAATAAAAGTTCTAAAGATGGAGAAAAAAAGGAAAGCTCATTCTTTGCGGTGCTATGGTTGTGATGTAGAAAATCTAAGAGACCTGTTTTAGTTAATTACTGTTGCTATAGCAAAATAACACAGAGTGGGTAATTAGTATGTAATAGGAATTTATTTTTTATCATTCTGAACGTTGGGAAGTCCAAGATCCAGCCACTGGCAAGTTCAGTATCTGGCAAGAGCCCGGTTTCTGCTTCTCAGATGGTACCTTGAATGCCATGTCCTCACATGGCAGAAGGAATGGAATGACAGAAGAGAGGCAGGCAGCTCATATTTCTCTTATAAGGTCACTAACCTCCTTCATAAAGGCTTTGCCCTCGTGAATTAATCACCTCTTAAAGGCCCCAACTCTTAGTACTATCATATTGGTGATAAGTTTCAACATATGAATTTTTGTGGGATATATTCAGAACATGTCATGACCCTACAAACTATTAGAATTAATAAGTGAATTTATCAATGTCTATATATAAAAGGTACATACACAAAAAAAAATTGTTTCAATATGTTAGCAGTGAACAAGTAGAAAATGAAATTTTAAAAAATATCATTTACAGTAGAGCACCAAAAAATTCAAATACCTAGGAATAAATCTAATGTAAGTTGTGTAAGATGTCTCCCTTGAAAACTATAAAACATTGCTGAGAAAAATTTAAGGAGATCTAAATCAATGGAAAGGGATACCATTTTGATCGATTAGAAAACTTAGTAGAGATATCAGTTTTTCCATGATTGATCTACAGATTCAGTA